TACAACTGAATATCATCAGCATAACAATGATAAGAAATGTCCTCAAAAGAGCCCATTATATGCTGGAGGGGGAGAAGATATATTAAAAAAAATACAAAAAGGAACAGAAAAAGGGGGGGATGAAGGGGTTAAGGAAAAGACAGAACAGATAAAATCATTAATAAAAGCATATGGAAAGAAGGAGCGAATGAAGTGAAGAAACAGACCAAAGATTAAGGATGAATGAAAGAAACGAGGGAAAGGGAGCAGGAACCGAAAGAAGGGAGGAATAAAGGGAGAGGGGGAGAGGGAGGAAAGAAGGAAGGGGAAGAGGAAGGTAGGAACAACAGACAAGTGAAGACAAAAAGAAAAATGAAAGAAAAAAGGGTCAAAGGAAAAAGGAAGTAGGGAAAGGAGGAAACAATGGAAAGAGTAAAGAAAAGAAGGAATATGAAGATAAAAGAAAGTAAAGATGTGATAAAAGAAAGAGAATTTGAGAAAGAAAGAAAAAAGCAAGGGATGAAGTGGAGAGGAAGAATTAGAAGAAAGAAGGATGAGATAAACAAGCCAGAGCACAGCGCTGAGGTCAGCGTTCACAGAAAGCAGTGAGATCACATCCAAAGAGGAGAAAATGCGTCGGCGCGACGAAATGTTACTGACGAATGTCGCCGACATGTGTCAGTAAAAGCTGTACAGATACAGATGAGCTCTGTGGAGTCGTGACAGTCTAACAAACAGCACATACAAACAAAATAAAAGCCAGGGCGGGAGAGTGATGTCACCCCGAAGGCATCTGAACAGCAATCAGTACAAAGCCATTTTCCAATTGAGAAGGAAGCTTAAATCTGTTTGTTTCCTGAAGACAAACATGCCAGAAAACCCTGGACAAGTTCTTTTCCAGGCCCGCAGCTGCACGCCAGCGTTTGTTTGTCTCTTCTCACAGGGTTCATCTTCCAAAGAGATGCCTGTGAAGCTGGATTTCTGGCTCAGGTTAGATTTGGAAGGTTACATCACTTTTGGCTACGGGGTTCGCTCTGTAACCCGAATCTGCTGAGGTCACATAAGGACTGTTTTAAGCGACTGCTTTAAAAACATCCAAAACAAATTTCTGCCACCAACCACCAAACCCCACCGCGCTCACCTTACTGTTTCCTGATGTGGAAGGCGGATAACTCGTCGGCTGTTGCTCCTGCTGACGGAGGTCCTGCTCCTCATCCTGCTCGTAGGAGGCGTTCTCAAAGCCCCGGGCGGAGCAGCCCAGCGTCGCTGCTGTCCAGGGTGCTGAAGTCGGTGTCGGAGATGGGCCTCGCCGGGCTCCGCTCCCTCGCAGCTCCCGGAGCTCTACGGTGTTGAAAGAGGACTCCATCGATATGTGCTCATGTCTTCATTGGACCTCCACTCGGCTTTATCCTCGCTGAATAAATAGATTAAATATTATATGATTCATGACACATATGAAGGGAGTTATATAATCAAACGGAGCCCGACTTGACCTACAAAAAAAATCCTTTTCTGTGTCTCTGGTTAAGACTGGATTGATTGTAGGCTCACATTAATAACATGTGGCCTTATAGTTTATTTATCAGTCGTGGTCAGAAGTGGTTTTCTCAAGTTGTCAATGGGTTACTTCAGATCCATCCCATTTTTTAGGAATCTTTGTAAAGATTTCCATAAACGTACACATGAGTTCATCGATGAACTGGTGAAACTTTTAATGTTCAAAGAAGAATCTGACTTCCTGTTTACCCTAATATTAAGCACACGTCCTCTACTTTGTTCTACTACAG